TTATGATCTAAAGATGTTGGACTAGGATTAGGATTGAGCCTGTGTTCTGATGGCCTTGCTTCCACTCTGTTCCCAATGACTGTAGATTCCAGGGTTTTGGCCATGGTTCCTTTTCCAGACTTTCTCTTTTGAGGACCTGCCTGGGAAAAGGAAAGGTGGGAACTCCCATTCATCCAGTGTTTACAATTTTAATTGTGTCTATGAGGAAGGGATTATAATCAGCCACAAGCAAGGCGAGAATCCATGAAGGCAGGGCTGTACAGATGAGGAAACAGACTCACACGGGTAAAGTGACTTGCCCCAAATTAACCCTGTAGTAAATAGGTGATCTGGGATTTGAACCTGAACTATATAACTTCAAAATCTGGCCTTTAACCATCACCTGTACTGCTCAGCAACAAGAACACACCCATGCACAACCACCTGCCAAAATGATATGTGTGGAAAAGCTCCACGTTTGTGCTCTTTGCTCTGCAAATCCCAGGTCAAAGTTTTATTTCAAGAACTAAAGATGTACTTCACAACACAGAGAGTTAAAACTGGTGAGAAACTAAATGTCCACAAATGGGGATTTGATCAAGTATGATATAATAAATTGGCTAGGAAAAGCTATATTTATATATATTACAGGATTATGGTTAAGGTCATAGGCTCTGGAATCAGACTGTCTTGAGTTCAAATTCTAACTCTGCTGTTTACTAACATAGGCTCTTAGTCAATTTACTTGACCACTATGAGCTTCACTTTCTTCTTCTGTAAAATGTTTATAATAATAGTCCCCACCACAGAGCATTCCCAGGAAAGACTAAATGAGTTACAACAAAGAGTACCTAGAAATATCTCTGAGTGTTAGTAATTGTGGGTTCCGGAACTGGATTCTCTGGGTGAGAGTTCTAGCCCTGCTGTTTACTTAATCTCTCTTCTTTCCTCATCTGTAAAAAGGGCCTAAGAATAGGATTATTGTGGTCAGTGAACACATATATACAAGTAAAATGCTTTGGACAAGCCCTGGCTTATAGCAAGGACTTAATAAATGTTAGCTGTAAGGTGGGGCAGGGTCATGGTTCTTCCTCAAGGGATATGCATAACAATCTGATACACATCTCTGAGTACTTCTACAGAAACTAAGGCCCCCACCCAGGTTAAGTTCAGGCTGAGCACAAGCACGTGGACCCCAAACTGGTTGGAACAGAAGGGTGATGATTGAGATCCCTGAACACCACCCTGTTACCTCACCAGCAACCAATCAGAGGAAGGTCACACACTCTTCAGACCTCCCCTCAAATTTTGCCTATAAAGTCTCCTCCCCCAGAACCATCGGGGAGTTCAGATCTTTTTGAGCATGAGCCATCCATTCTCCTTGCATGGCCCTTGCAGTAAACCTTTCTCTGCTCTAAAAAAAAATTTTTTTAATAAATATTAGCTATTATTATTTTACCTCCTAATGTCTTACAGGGTCATCTGTATCTACTTTATACAAGTTCTGTGTGTTCTTCTCAATATGATGATTGCTAATGTTCTGAAGCACTTAAATATGTGCTAGATACTGTGTTGAACTGTGTGCTAAGCCCACTGCCTGTTAGTTTTCCTAGATGGATGATTCATATGTTGTTTCTCCAGTGACAGATTGATAGTTGAATATAAATTAAACACCAAAGCCAGATCCTTTGGGTGGACCTGTTTTTGTACACCCCTCAAGCTAAGACTTTTTAAAAACATTTTCAAATGGTTTAAAAAAATCAAGAGCTGAATATATACAAGATCTTGTGGTAGCTCACAGTGAAAAAAATGTGACAGTGAATGTATGTGTGTTCATGTATAACTGAAAAATTGTGCTCTACACTGAAAAATTGTGCTCTACACTGGAATTTGACACAACATTGTAAAATGACTATAACTCAATAAAAAAAAGTTAAAAAAAATCAAGAGCTGAGCAATATTTTGTGTCACATGAAAATTATATGAAATTCAAATTTCAGAGTGCAAAAATAAAATGTTATTGGCACACAGCCATACCCATTTGTTTTCTTCTTGCCTGTGGCTGCTTGGCCTCCAACAGCAGTTGAGCAGTTAGCTGTGGAGGGACTGTGTGGCCCTCAGAGCTCAAGATATTTACTAAAATGGCTTTTACCTAGAAGGTCTGTGGGACCTCTGTCTTATCTGAGTCTTACAATGTTTTATCTCCTTTGTACTAATACCATTTTAATCTTCTATCCCATTTTTATTCCCTTTCTACTAAGGAGAAGAATGAGAGGCTATGTCATGTTATGCAGCAGGAAAAGCCACCTTGGGACCCAGGTGTCCTGGCTTCTGACCGCTGGGCTGGAGCCCTCCTCCTCAGCTGCACCTGAGGCTCACTCTGGGGATCCCCCAGCCTATGGCTCAGCAGCCCAGATACAGCAGAGGCTGGTCCAGTGTGAGAGACTGCGCTGTCTCCTCAGATGGCCTCACGGGGCACCTCGCCAGGCCCTTTTTTCCTCTGGAGCCCGGCCTAGCTCACACAGGCCGCTCTGTGAGACTGTGGGCAGGAGGCCTCTCTCGCCAGCAGTGTTCAGTTACCCCAGTGACATTCAATTGTTCCTAAGAGAGGAGGCCCATTTTTGGCAGCTCCTAGACCTGGATTCCAGGAAGCTCTGCCTGACTCCTTTTCTGTTTTGTTTCCAATCAGCAAGTCGGCTGTATCACTTTCCACCAGGTTGCGTAAGTCCGCCTGCCGCTCTCACTCTCTCTCTTGCTGTCACCTTTATACCACTCTGAGCTCAATGCCAGTCAGGGAGGAAGACCTGGGACCCATAAGGGGTGGGGAAAAGTTGCAGAATGTGTCATCAGGAGTTTTTTGCTACCCAGATAGACCTAAATGGCAGCTTGGCCCAGCCCCAAAGTTTCCACAGATGTGTCTTACCCTAGTCCTAGGAATCCAGGCTCTCAGCCCTGAAAAGAGATCCCTAGGATGGCAGTTCAGCCCTGCAGGTGGACCCATGTCTGTGTGTACACTGCTTATAGGCCCTTTACTCTCTGCCAGGTAGTTTTGCAGAAGCTTAGAAAATTGATGTTGAACATGTAACTCTGGAGGCAACTCTCTGAGTTCAAATTCTGGCTCTGCCACTGACTGGCTCTGCCACTGACTGACTGGCTCTGCCAATTACTGGCTCTGTGACTTTAGGCAAATTACTGCACATCTCTGTGCCTCAGTTTCTGTTTCTGTACTATGGAGATAATAATAAAACTTCCTGTATTAGACTAATAAGAATTGAATCATTTAATACATGTAAAGGGCTTAGTACAATGTCTGGAACATAATAAAGACTCAATCAATACAAGTGATTATTACTATAATTATAACTATTATTATTGATATTCACCAGAGAAAAGGTCATAGTTGTACCCAAGGAGATATGAACAGTAATATTCATTGCAGCACTGTTTTTAATAGTGGCAGATTGAAAGCCATCTAAATATCTCTCAATAGAGAATGGCTAAACAAATTATGGTACATCCACACTGTGGATTTCTGTGTAGCAGTTAAAAAGAAAGGGGCAAATCTATCTGGCCTGATATGAAAAGACTTCCAAAATACAGTGTTTCAATGACAAAAAGCAAGAAGCAGAAGGATACACAGACATGAGTGTAAAACACAAAAACGCAAAACAGTCTGTGACTAACATACATATGTAAATGCCCAGGAAAAATGTCTGGGACAGCACTGTCATGGCTGTCACTAGGCACATGAAGCTATTTACATCTAAATGTAAATTCATTAAAATTAAGTAAAAATTTTAAATTCAGTTCCTCAGTGGTATCAGCCATACTTCAAGTGCTTAATAGCCACATGTCGCTAGTGGCTAGTGTACTGGACAGTGCAGATATAGGCTAGCTCCATCACTGCAGAACATGCTATTGGATGGTGCTCGTCTAGATGGGTGAAAAAGCCAAACTGCTAGTAGCAGTGACCTTGGCATGGAGGGAGCAAGGTTGCAGAGGATCATGTATTCTTTTAACAGATGTTTGTTGAGCACTTGCTCTGTGCCCAGCACTGTCCTCACAGTGGAACCACAGCTGTGAGTAGAACAGACAAACTCCTGTCCTCTGGGAGTTTTCATTCCAGTGGGTGGTATTTCAAGTGGAAACGGGTGCTTTGGTGAAAAATAGAGCAGGCACGTGGATAAGGAATGCTGGCAGATGGCACAGGGTGATCATTAAAGACATTTTCAACATTTACCTGCATTTTTTTAAAATGAGGAGACTGCCTTCCTTGTGTAATTAAACATTTGTAAAAGGAAACAAAAGTGTCTTAGTCCTGGGCAGAGGAAACCTGGATTGCTGCCCAGGTTCTGACCCGAACCCTTGCATCCTGTGCCTGATGTAATGGCTTAAGCTTTCTGGTCCCCCATTTATTTATCTTGATGTGCGTTAGGAAAGGGCTCTGAGGCCCTGCCAGCCCCACTATCCTGTGGTTGGATGTTTCCTTGAGTCTCTTCACCTATCCAGGAAGTCCACGGATCATTGGAGTCCTTTGGAAGTGTTAACATGCAGTGACTGCAGGAATGTTGCAAGACTCATAGCAAACCAAGGGGGAGGAGGGAGGGGGGGAAGGGATGAAGAGGAGGAGAAGGAGAAGAAGGAAGAGAGAAGTGGGAGGAGGGAGAGAGAAGGAAGTGGGGAGACCTCTCTCCAAGGCTTGATGTTCCAGCAAGCTTTGCCTGAAGGCTGCCTCTGCACCCAGGTTAAATCAACCTGGAGTTCTTAGTACGGTAGTGCAGACAGACACTTTGTAATAATAATAGCTAATATTTATTGAGCCCTGACCAAGCTCCAGGCACCCTCTATGTGGATTAATTTATTTAATCCTAATGACAACTCTATGGAGGTTGGTACAATTTATCAATCCCATTTTACAGATGAAAAAACTGAGGTTTCAACAAACTAAATAAAAGTTTAGTTTTGGAAGGTCTGGGCTTCAAACCAGAGGCCAGCCTCCAGAGCCCTGGGTCTTAACCACGATGCTTCAGCCCCTGTTGCTTATGGTGAACTACAACATGAAACAGAAGAAGTAAAGGCGTGTGCTTGTTGAATGCAGTCCATGCATGTGTTCTGTAGGCATAGACCAAGTGGGGATTAATTCTGACTGAGGATGTTAAGTTTTCTTGCTTCTGCCCTTGCCAGCCACTCCCCAAAAGCCAGAGGAATCCTAAATCAGACCCTGTCAGTCTGCTCAAAAGTTCCCATGTCTCCCACCTTATTCAGAGTAAAAGCCATACTATGATCAACAAGGCCTTCTGTGATCGCCCCCCGACCCACACTACCTCTGATCTCGGTCCGCCTGCTCCCCTCACCCCACTCCAGCCACAGGGGCCTCCTCCTTGCCTGTCCCTCCCCTGGGCTCTTGTGTGAGCTGTAAGCTCTCAAGGAACCTTCCTGGTGGAGGTGAGGTCTGAGCTGAACCTGGCAGGGTATGGAGGTGTATATTAGCCTCAGAGAGTGGGAAGAGGAGGGGAGGTTTTCAGGGAAAAGAGTATGTTTGTGTGTGTGAGAGAGAGAGGGAGGGAGGGAGAAAGAGAGAGAGGGAGAGAGAAACTGAGTGGAAAACAGTGAGGGGGAATGGGAGAGGTGGACAGGGACTGGTTCATGCAGGTCCTGGCAAACGTAAGACAGTATTTGGATTTTCTCCTGAGGGCAGTGGGGAGCTATGGAGGAGTTTGAGCAAAGGAAAGACACATCTGAATTTGCTTTTCCCCAGCTCGCTCAGTCCTTCCTGGGGGCACTTTGTTGCTCAGGACTTGCCATCTGGTTTGGCTACAGGTGACCTTCACTGTTCACCTCCATCAGTAACTCAAACAATATATGTATATATTTTAAAATTATGTCTTTTTCCTTTAGGAATATGTTTATGTGGGTGTTCATTTTTATTTTATTTTAAAATTTTTTAGAGAAGTTTTAGGTTTATAACAAACTTGAAGGAGAGATACAGAGATTTCCATATACCGCATACCCCCACAACATGCCCATTGTCAACACCACTCACCAGAATAGAACACTTTTTTTGTTTTAACCAAGGATAAACCTACATAGACACAGCATAATCACCCAAAATCTACAGTTTACCTTAGGCTTGTGCATTCACTTCTGTTGTACATTCTGTGGCTTTGCAGAAATTTGTAATGACATATATCCATCATTATAATACCATAAAGAGTGTTTTCACTGCTCTAAAAATCCTCTGTGCTCTGCCTGTTCATCTTCTCCCCTGGTCCCATCCCTGGCAGCTGCTGATCCTTATCTTGTCTCCATAGTTTTGCCTTTTCTGGAAATGTTATATAATTGGGGTCATACAGCATGCAGCCCTTTCAGATTGGTTTCTTTCTTTTAGTAATTGCATTTAGGGGTTCTACTTTGGGGCTCTCATGACTAGTGCTGCTATGACCATTCATGTACAAGTTTTTGTGTGGACACGTATTTTTCAGTTCTTTTGGGTATATACCTCAGAGTGAAACTTCTGGGTTATGTGGTAACTGTGTTTAACTGTTTGAGGAACTACTTGATTTTTTTCCAAGGTGGCTGCACTAGTTTGCATTCCCACCAGCAGTGCGTGATGGTTCCATTTTTTTCATACCTCTGTATACCTTTTGTGTTTTGAGTCACACAACTATATGACCATATATAGAGAACGAGTTGAAGAAAGATGAGGATAGGGTGACCAGAGGGAGTGAGAGAGGAAGGCTGGTACCTGATCCTCCAGGGCCATAGGCCTCAGTGCGGTGTTGAATTTTGTTGAGATTTCAGGGGGCAGCTCTTGGAGGCTTTTATGCTAGGAAGAAGCATGAACTGATTTGTGTGTGTGTGTATGTGTGCACTTTCATTGTTTCAACATTTATTCCCTAAATGGGTAATGATTCATAGGGTTCCCTCTCCCTGTAGCAGGTAACTACTGTTTTATTTTCGTATATGTTCATTTAGAGTTTTCTTTTGAATACATATGCAAATACAAGCAGTCTTGTTTTCCCACTGTTATTATACAAGGTAGATACTGTCACACTTACTTTTTCACATAACCATGTATTTTAGAGACTTTTCCATATCAGTATATAGAGAGTTTCATCATTCTTTTTTTTTTCTTTTCTTTTCTTTTTTTACTGCTGCATAGTATTCTGTCACTGGACAGATCACAATTTATTTTGCCAGTGTCCTGTTAAAGGGCAATGAGGTTGTTTTTGATTTTTTTTATTATTACAACCCATGTTTTTAACAAATAATTCTATACAAATGTCATCTCACACATATGCAGGATTATCTGTAGGACACATTCCCAGAAATGAACTTGCTGGATCAAAAATGCATATGCATTTATCATTTTGATAGATTTTGCCAAATTACCCTTCTGAGAGGTTGGGCCAACTTATACCCCACCAGGAATTATGAAGGTTCCTGTTGCCTCAAACTCTCATCACTCAGTGTGTTATCAAGCTTCTAGAACCTTGCCAATGTGAGATGGAACATAGTGGTTCCTGTAGTTTTAATTTGAATTTTTTAGAAAGAGAGAGGCCACACAGCTTTTCATATGTTTAACAGCCATTTGAATTTCCTTTTCTGGGAACTGTCTATTGACATCTTTTTTTTTTTTTCTACTAGGCTTTGTCTGTTTTTCATATCTGTTTCTGAGAGTTCTTCTTATGCAAAGGAGAGTAGCTCTTTGTGGGATGAACTGCAAGAATTTTTCCCTGGTTTGTCATTTGTGTTTTGACTTTGCGTATGATGGGTTTTTTCTTCCTCTCTCTTTTTGTCATAAGTGTTTTTTTTTTTGCTGTTGTTTTAACGTAGTCAGATTGATCAATCTTTTCTTTTAGGACTTCTGGACTTTGCATCATAGTTGGAAAGCCCTCTTTCATACTTTCTTTTAGTATTTATAGTATCACTGTTTATATGTTATATCACTGTTATAAATTCAGTCAAATGTTATTTTTCTGTATGTCTCACTTTATAGCTTGCTGTTTTCTCACATTATTGATACATAGAGAAGCTTTACTTCATTCATTTTAACTGCTGCATAGTATGCTATCATGTGACTAATAAGACCACATTTTATTCGTGATCCTCTAACAATGGAATTTAGGTTGCTTGTCATTTTTCACTGTGACACCCAATGCTGCAGTGAACATGCTTGTATATATCTTCTTATGCTCACTTGCCAGAATTTCTTTGGAGCACAGAGCTAGAAGTAAAATTTCTGTCAATCTCTGGATGTAAAACAGTATGTGATGCTGATTATAGTTTGCATTTCCCTGATTAATCTGAGACTGAGCATCTTTTCATATGTTTATGGGACCTTTGGGTTACCTCTTCTCACAGAAATGCTTTTTAAAACCCTTTAGTCCTTTTTCATTGGGATGATTGATTGTCTCCCCCCCCCCCTTATTTATCTATGAGTTCTTTATAAATTCTGGGTATAATCCCTTTGTTATATTGGTTGTATCTTCTCCCGGTTTGTCACTTGTCTTTTCCTCTTTGTCATAGAGGAATATTCAATTTTGATGTAGTCCAATAGATTAATCTTTTCCTTTATAGTCTGTGCTTTTTGTGCCTGGTTTAGGAAATCCCTTTGTCTCCAAGGTCATAAAGATACTTTTCTATATATCCCGTTAATCACTTTAGAGCTTGAAGAAAAAAAAATTTTTTGAAATCTAAACGATGCCAAAAGAGACTGAGATGCTTTCTTTCATGTTTGCTGAAATGGGGTTTGGCTTAAGAAAATGGAGAAACAGAGCTTTAACCTCTGCCTGTCCTGTAGATTCTAGTTCAGGGCAAGACGACCTTTGCTGTCACATGGTTGATTGATTACGGCCAGGCTCTGGGATGTTAAGACCCTAGACTCAGATTTTCTCTCAGTGCCTTTAATCAACACTCCTCATGCCTGCCTGTGACCCTGGAGCTTAGCTGCAGCCACAGCTCCTCCCTCTGGCCCCCATTACTCTGCTCAAAGTAGTGCTACTGGCTCAGAGGATGGGAGGAGGAGAAGCCGACACAGCTGTTTTTCCTTCCTGAGCCCATGACAATATCTGGTTGTTCCAGACACCTGCCACAACATAATGTCCTTGGCTAATTGGCTTTCCCTGTTGCTGACATGGGCGGCCTTTCCTCCAATCAGTGGGTGATATTTGGAGCCCTGTCCATCTCTTGGGAGTTGGGATATTTTCTCACCCCGGCAGAGCCCAGCTTTGGAATGTCAGCGTTCTGCTCAGGAGCTGGGCTGGCAGGGGCAGCAGGTGGCTTGGAAATGAGAGTCCTCTGACCTTCCCACGGGAACTTACCAGCAACTTCTCCATGTAGAGCCATTTTAGGATCTTCCTAGGCCTCTGGCATTGTTACTTTTTAAGGACCCATCCACATCCCATTAAGCATAACAAAATGCATCCCCACGGCCTAGTAGATACAATTAGATGTAATCATGTGAGTTCAGAGGCGGCTGACTAGTGGACCTAACACTACATTTTGTAGACATTTTAATTAAGCTTTGATTAATTTCAATTTTTGCAGCTTCCTTTTTATATTCTGGAGTCAGTATTGGTCTCAAACATATTTATGTGCACTTGAAATATTAAGACTCTGGGGTCTGGCCTATGCTGTCCATTGATAAAACTGCCCAGCCCCCAGCTTTCCTTCATAAGACCAGATTTGCCAAGCCCACTACATCCCACAGAATTCCCAAGCACTTACCAAGCACTCTCCTGTGTATTAAATCATGAACTGCTTCCAAATCTTCCTCCTGTATGTAATATTGAGGGACATTTGCAGAGATTCTTAGTCTTCTCAGCAGAATCAAGGAGTGTTTGCTGGACTTCCTTCATCTGGGTAAAACCCCGGATTGTGTCCTGAACCCTCTCCTACATATAAAATCATGAGATATTTGCAGAATCCAATCTTGTGTGTACAATCTTGGCCGTTTGCATGACCCTCCTACTCTGTGTGAAATCAAGGAATATTTACAGAACACCCTTTTATCTGTAACATCATTAACTGCACACAGAATTTCCTATGTTTGGTGTCATAGAATCTTTACAGAGCACCCTTGTTCCAGGTAGAATCGGAAATGAACACGCTCCTCCGAGTGGAATCATTAATTAGTTGCAGACCCCTCTCCAGGATCACCAACTGTTTGAAAAACACATTGGAAAATCAAGGAAGATTTACATAGCTCTTTTCTATCTGCAGAATCATGTAATAGTTGCAAAGTTTCTTCCTAGGTATAAAATCATAAATGTTTACAGAGCACTCCCTGCATATAGAATTTTAAGGCATTTGAACAATTTTTCCTTCCTGTATATAGAATTGAGGAATGTCTTCATGTATACAGATCACAGAATGTTTGCAGAGCCCCCCTTTGTGGCTTGAACCTTGGACTGTTTGCAGAACACCCACCTCTTTATAGAAAGTTTGCAGAACCTCTTTGCTTATCATTTTGCAGTGTCTACAGTTCTTCCTCATCTGTACAGACTCAAGGAATGTTAGCTTCTTCTGTGTAGAATCATGGAATGTTACTAAGCAGCCTCCTCCATATAGAACTTGAAATGTTTACATCCCTGCTTACATGTTGAAGAGATGTAAGAGATGTAAAGGGTCATGAACAGGTCACGGACAGGTCACAGACGGTCTTGAAGGTCAAATGAAGATTAGACTTTCTTCTATAAGCTATAGAGTGCCACCGAAGTTTTTTAAATTAGAATAGTGACACGATGAATGAAAATTATGTTCCAGGAATCTTAATATAGTGAAGGGAGTAAGTGAGGTAAACTGAAGGGTGGTGGATTAAAAAATAATTTTTCAAAACAAATTAAAAATTAACGTACAGATTGATTTTACTAAGTGCAATGATCTGTAGCAAACACTTTAATAAAATAGACTCATTCTCCCCGGGTATTCAACTACAACTCATAGTTCAAATCTGGCCCACTGCTTGAAAATAAAGTTTTATTGGTACACAGCCACATGTCTGTGAACGCTTTTTTTTTTTTTGTCTGTGGATGCTTTTGTGCTACCATAGAATTAAGTGGTTTTGAGTGAGACTGTATGGCCTGCAAAATAAAAAATATTTGCTATCCAGCCCTTTACAAAAGAAATTTGCTTACCCATGCTCTAGCAAGAAAAGAAATACTCTGAAATTTTTTTTAATGATTGGTTTTTTGGGAGTATTTTTTGGTTTTCTCACAACAGACTCAGTTGAATTTATAAACAGTTTTATTCATTCATTCATTTAACTAATATTTACTAAAGATCTACTATGTACCAGGCCCTGATTTAGGCACAGAGGGTGCAAAGATGAAAAAAAGGCATTTTCTTGCCCTCAAGGAAATGTGTAATCTAGCCATAACTGTCACATAATTTATAAGAAACCAGCTGTGTGACCTTGAGCAGGTTCCTTAATCCTTCTAGACTTCAGTTTCCTCATCTGTGAATAAGGGTGGTGCTAGTACCAACCTCAAGGATTATTGTAAGGATTAAGTAAGTTTCTATTTATAAAGTTCTTAGAACAGTGCCTGACGCAGAGTAAGTGTGCTTGTTTTATTATGTACTTATAGGCGAGCATACCCACATGTACATATGTATGTATAAAACAGTGCGATTTGTGCTCTAATAGAGGTGTCTAGGGTTATTCTACTTAAGAGAATTTTATCAGTCAGGACTTAGTTCAGAAAATAGAAACCACTCCAGGTATTTTAATCAAAAAAGGATTTGATGGTGGGGGGATAAATTGGGAGTTTGGGATTAGCAGATAAATACTACTATACACAGAACAGATAAACAAATAGATCCTACTGTATAGCACAGGGAACTATATTCAGTAACTTGTAATAACCTATAATGAAAAAGAATATATATGTATAACTGAATCACTATACTGTATGCCAGAAACTAACACAACATTGTAAGTCAACTATATTGCAATTTGAAAAAAAAGGATTTGATACAAGATTTAAGTGCCTGCAAAATCACCAGGAGGGCTGGAAGAGTGATCAGGGTGACCATTTTGTACTCTTGATTTTAAGTTTCTGGCATTAAAAAAAAGCTTGGTGTGCTCCACAGGTGTCTGTTGCTTTTGCCTACCCAGTGTCTATTCCATTGGAGTAATTGCACCTTGGTTTCCCCTTGGAGAGCCACCCTTTCCCACTATTAGTCATGTGATTATATGATGCTCAGCTTGCCTCCTGGCTGCAGGGGAAGGCATGTAACTAGGTCTAGCCAATCAGTCAGTACACTTCATCTCCTTAGTCACAGTAATTGGTTTAGGGCTGGCCATGTGACTGAAACCAGGTCAATGAAACTGATTATAAAACTCTTTTTTGGCAGGTGATTCCGTAGCTGTGGGAACCACGCGGTCAGGGGGAGCAGGTGAATCTGATGAAACCAACCCAAAGGAAAGCAGAATTAATATATAGAGAGAAATTGAATGCTGATGATATTACATGAGCTCCTGGGTCCAGCTATGCCTGAAGCCATGTAACCCTGCTTCAAGACATTATAGTCATTTAGTGCAATAAATTTCCTTTTTGTTTAAGCCAGTTTGAACTGAAAGTCCTGACTAACACATTATGTCAAGAGAGTAGTTTACTAGTATGAGAGCCACTATACTAGAGAGTTTATGGCAGCATTATTCATAGCAGCCTCCAACTAGAAACTGCCCAAATGCCTGATAATAGTTAACTGGCTAATCAACTGTGGTATATTCACACAATGGAATGCTATTCAGCAATTAAAGTGGATGACTTGCAGCCTCACTCATCAATATGATTGAATCTCACAAACATAATGCTGAACAAAAGAAGTCAGACATAACAGAACATACACTGTGATTCTATTTGTATAAAATGAGTGCCAGTGATATTCTTTTTCTTGATCTGAGTGCTTGTTAAATGGGTATATTCAGTTTTAAAAATTCAGTGAGCTGTGCACTTGTGATAGGTGTCTGCTTCTGTATGTATGTTATACTTCAGTTAAAAACAAAACAAAACAGAAAAACCTCAGCAGAAAAACTGAGCAAAAAGAATGGAAGGCCAGTACTGGATAGGTTCAGAGCTCAAATTATGTCATCAGGATTCAACTTCTCTTTGTTGCTTATGCCAACTTCTCTCCATATTCTGGCTTGGTCCCCAGGCTCCACAAGCTGATAAAATGGCTGCCATTGCTCCAGCCTCAGAACCTTTCATATTTATGTCTAGCATGAAAGAGAAAGTTGGCTTCTTCAAAAGCACAAATTTAAGTGTCTGGGAGTTGTCTCATTGGTTCTGACTCATCCACCCAACCTTGAAACAATTACTATTACCAGAGGAATACAGTGTTTTTCTGACTGACCAAGGTTGGTTCACATAACAAGTCTAGAGGCAGAAATGGAGTCAGCAACCCCAGAGAAACCCACAGACTGAAAGCAAGAAGAGAAGGAAATTGGAGCTGTAGCAGAAATGAATGGATGTTAATGGCTAAAAAAGTTCAATAAATGCCTGGTACCTAGACTTCTTCTCTCAGCATTTCTAAAAAATGCCCAGCACCTAGTTTGGTACTTGATATAAATACCTGTTGAATGAGAGAATCACTTCTATCAGTTACTACTCCTCAGGAGCAACCCTGTCATACCCTGTCATACCAGAATGTCATATAGACATTCTACCATAGATGTTCATTGTGGCAGTGTTTGTATTGGACCACCATCCCTTATCCATACTTCTTGACATATATACTTTCATACCTTGACATACATACATACTTTCTTGTCTGGGATGGAAAAGACAGTGTCAGAATTTAGAAAAGGGATATAAATCAGCCTTTTGACTGCAAAGCCATAGTCCTCCATAGAGCCATTGCTGTTGGAGGACTTTTGCTAACTTTTGGTACCAGTTCCTCATATCTTACTTTCTTTTTTCAGAGGAGCTTCGTGGCAGAGGGACAGAGCCTGGGAAAAATCTCATCATAGCAACTGTAAGTGAGGCAGGTAGTCATGGGAACTGTCAGCCACCGCTGCAGGGAGTGTAAATTGGCACACCCACTTTGGAGAACAACTTGGAAATAGTCAGTTAAGCAGCTGTGCATATCCTACTACTCAGCAAATGCACTCTTGTATGTATGTGCTCTGGAGAAGCTCTTGCCCTGATGTGCAGGATACACACAGGAGGGCACTGTTATAGTTACTATCGCTGCATAACAAACCACCCCAGACTTGGTGACGTAAACAGTAAACATTTTATCATGCTCATGGTTTGGAAAGGTCACGGTGGGGACTGCTTGTCTGAGGCTTCAGATGGGAGATCGAGGATGACTGGACAGCTAGGGGCTGGACTGTCTAAAGGTTTGCTCGCTTATCTGTCTGGGGATTGGTGCTGATTGTCAGCTAGGACGTCTGCTGCGGCCTTGACCAGAGCACCTGTGTGTGGCCTCTTCCTGTGGCGTGGACTTCCTCACAGAGTGGTGGCTAATGGCTCCAAAGGTGGGTGTTCCAATCAACAAATCAGAAGTTGCATTTCCTCAGAAGTTTTGCATGGTCATTTCCACTTCTTTTTATTGGCTATAAGTGATTCACAATCCCACCCAGATTCAAAGGAAGGGGAATTAAAGAATGTCCAGAAGAGCATGGGGATGGGAAATCTTTGTAAATGACATTCTGCCATAGATGTTCATTGTGGCAGTGTTTATACTGGACCACCATCCCTTATCCATACCCCTTGGGACCAGATATGTTTGAAATTTAGAAAATATCAGAATTTTGAAAGGTAGTATGGTATATGAATATTTATGAATATATGAATATTTATAGAACACCCCTTGAGAGGAATGGGTCATCCTGTAAGCAAAAATCTAAATATCTCCTCACTGGAACATATGAATATTCATGCCAAGTAATAAAGATTACAGATAGCCTTCTGTCTATTGAGGTCAAGTTTTGCCACTAAAGAAATTCAGGTCAGGTCAGGTCAAGTCTCGCTGCCAAATAAATTATGAGAAAACGTTTAGGTTTTAGATGTTTTAGATTTTGAATTGTGGCTAAGGCTCTATGGACCAGTAACAGAAAAAAATTAGAAACAACCTAAACAGACATCATCAAGAAATGAATAAACTCGGTACATGTTTCATTGTGGCTGTGTCTTATAAAAATAATGTTAGAAAGCAAGTTGCAGAAGAGTATATTTGTGATCAGTTAGGATAAGCCAGACTACGCTATAGTACAACAAACAGCCTCTGTATCTCAGAGGCTTAAAACAAAGTTTTATTTCTTGCTTATGCAAAACGTTCATCACTGGCCTGATGGAGTTGGAGGACTTTTCTCTTCACTCTGGAACTCAGCGAGCGGGGCAGCTGCTCTGTGGAATATTGATGGTCACTGTGGTAGTGAGACAAGAGGGACACATGGGCTCTTAAAGCTACTGGCAGGAAGTGATGTCTGTGATTTCTGCTCTGAGCCTCAGTTTCTCCTGAAAGGGCTGATTAATTACTGCTGGCTGGAGGTTACTGGGGTGAACCTCACAGTCAATGCTCGGTCAGCAGGTGTTCCTGGCACTGGAAGTACTCAATGCCAAGGCTCGTGGGGCCTGGAAAGCAGTTACGGACATGTCAGCGATCTTTATCTGCTCACTGCCTCTGGGACTTTGAACTGAGATAGTCATTGCTCTGTAATGTTATCACACTGCTGGAGATTAGTGTTTATGGATTGTGCAATGGCTTCCTCAGGGCAGGTGCCTGAAACAGTAGAGTTTGAGGAGATGGAGAGGGCATGGTGTTATTTCTAACTTACTTTAGGCTCTGGATCCTTTGTGTGTTTGATTTGGGCAAGCCGGTAATTGAGTGTTGGCAAGTACACAAGGCCCAACTCGTCCTCTTCTGGGATTTCTCCAGGAACCGCCCTTTGTTTAGACCATTCCTCTCCTCTAAAACCTTCAAGGGCTCCCTATGGCCCCCAGGGAAAAGTGTAAGAATAGGACAGATCCCACTGTTTGAGCACCTGCTACATGCCAGACACTTTACAGATAGTATCTCAAATCCTCATGGCAACCTCAGGAAGAAGGAATTCTATGACCCCCATTTTACAGATGTGGAAATGGAGGCTCAGAGAGGTATAATGACTTCCCAAGGTCACAGAGCAAGGGTAAGGAAGAGGCAGGACTGGTTGGTCACAAGATCTTTCTGACTCTGGGGCCCCTACTGACCCACAAGTTTAGGGCCTCCCTGGTCTCATTCTGCTCCTTTTCCTTTTACTTGGAGTGACCAGCTACTCCAGGAAGGCTGGCCTCCTCTCACTGCCCCTGGAGCAAGCATGTCTCAATTCCCTTTCAAGGGCCATCTAGAATCTCACAGGACACCTCCCCAAACTATTGATCACATGAGTCCCACCCTGATTGCATTGTATCATAGTTACTCACTTTCCTGTCCGTCCTTCCCTGGGCTGTTCTTCCTTCCACTTAAGTCACCTCTGCATCTGCCATGCCCAGCTGTGCTCAGTGCACACCTGCTATCTGTTCAGCATTCCTTCAACAATTACTGAGCACCTTCTGGGTGCCGGGCACTGTGCTAGATGAAAGGATACAGCAGAGAATGAAACAAAATCCTTGATCTCATGGAGCTTATGTTCCGATATGGAAGACAGAAAAGGAACAAATAAACACATTCATGTATAATATGATGTCAAGGATGAAAAGCACAATGAAGGAAAATAAACCTGAGTAAGGGAATAGAGAGTTCTGGGGTGAGGAGGAGGAAGATATTTTAGAGAAAAATCTCTTGAAGGAGATAACATATGAACAGAGACCAGAATGCAGTGAGCTTGTTTGACTGAGAGACTGAAGAGTGAATGAGTGAATGAATGAATGAATGCTCGAGTGAGTTGGAAACCTAACTTGGAGATGAAAGGCAGTACGGAGGACAGAATTTGACATCTTCTTTTTCCCCTGCCATCAAAAAAACAAAACAAAACAAAACAAAAACAAAAACAAAAAACCAATCAGTGCCTTGCTCTTTCATGTGGGACATGAATCGAGACCAGTCATCAGTATATAGTCCAGAAGTGGGAAGGCCTCCCTGTTTCTTTTCACGGGGGAATTCTTTGCCCACCTAGGCTAGGGGAGAGGTGGATGGTGAAGGAATCCAACTGTGGAGGACATTTGTTATTTTGAGCCAGTTCTATCTCTCCCATCCCCTTCCTAATTGGAGCCCATTTTGGGTCAACCAGAGGAGCCAGACCCTCTTTTTCCCCTGTCCCAGCTGGGTTAGAGGTACACAAGTCCCTGAGATCCTTCCACCTCACAGCACTCTGAGGAGGTCAGTCTCATGAGTGTCATTTACAGATGTGGAATGATGGAGTGAGGGGTTCCAAAAGATGCATCCAAGACCAGTTGGGGACTATCTTGGCTTTGTTCACAAGGGCAGAGGCACCTTTCCACGGCTTCCAGAGTACCCAAGTACCTACCTCTCTGCCTCCTTGGCAGAGCCACACTTTTCTGCTCTGCTATTCAAAGTGGACTTCCTCAACCCTAGGCGCTCCCTCTCTTCTTCTGAGCCAGCAGCCCACAGATGGTATCGAGGTGTGGTTTTGATTTGCATTCTTCAGAAGACAAATAAACGCAAGCATCTTTCCATGTGCTTATTGGCTAGTAGGATCTCTTCTATGAAATGCCTGTTGAAGTCTTTTTTTTTTCCTTGTGGCTTGTCAGTCTTTATCAATCTTTCTGTGTGTGTGTGTGTGTGTGTGCGCACGTGCGTGTGTTTTAAACAATATTCTGGGTGTGAGTTCTTTATCAGCCGCATATTTCTATTTCTTTTCCTCCTATGCAACCTATTCTTTCCCTTACTAGTGTCTTTGGATGAAGAGAAATTCTTATTTCAATGTAGCACAACTTATCAAAATTTTCCTTTTTGGTTGGTGTTTGTGTCCTATTTTATGAATCTTTGCTTATGCCAAGGGCAGGAAGATGCTCTTCTGTTTTTGTCTAAAAGCTTTTTTGTTTTATTGTTCATATTTAGATTTACAATCCATCTTGGATTGATTTTGTAGATAGTATGAAGTAGGATTGATGAGTCTTTTTTTTTTGGAAATCCAATTGACCTAACACCAATTCAGTTGGACAAAACATTGCATGGTGGTGTACGGTTGTTCACTGTACCATTCTTTCAACTTCCCAATAGGTTTAAAAGTGTTTTAGATATAATGTTGGGGGAGGGGTGATGGAAAAAGAAAGGTAGCGGGACTATTGTAGATAAACAAATACTATAGGTATAATTCCAAATGCAATGTGTGAAGCCTGATTAGATACTGTTTTTTAAAAAAAAAGGTATAAAAGACATACCTTAAACCAAAGGGGAAATTTGAGAATGGACTGGATGTTATAGGACACTATAGTGTGATTATTCATTTTCTTAGGTGTGATAACATTATTGTGGTTATGTAGGAGAATGTTCTTTTTCTTAGGATTTCTGTGGAAGTATTTGAAGCATGAAGTACCAATAAGGCAGCAACTAACTTTTGAATATTTCAGAAAAAATCTATACATATGAATATATAGATAAATCTGGAAAAATAGCAATCTAGGAGAGTGTACACGTGCTCCTGGTACTAGTCTTCCAAATTTTCTGTATGTTTGAAAATATTTTCTAAAGACAGGGGTGGGGAGGTGCCCTTGTGTGGTCCAAACAAAAGTAGTTGCAAATCAGATTATTCCAGCTAGTTTGAGATTTCTGGTCTAGGGCCTCACCTCTGCTATCTCACTCTACATCACATTCCTGTGGGGTAGGCAACACTGGACCCATTTCACAGGTAATAAATAAAAGCTAGAGGGTTAAGTGACTTGCTCAAGGTCACAAAGCCAATTGAGACCAAGCTAGGATTTGAACTCATATCTGTCTGAGTCAAAATTATTTGCTTTTCTTTTTTGTTCTTAAGCCTCTTCTCTCCCATCCGATTTCCCAGGGGGGCTGGTCAGCTGAGAACCCATGTG